AGAATGTTTATAGTATACTTAAATTGATTGACATTATTTTAAATCGGTTTCAACTATAGTGAAACAGAACTACATTCCAGGAGCAATCCAGAGACACCTAGTCTGTTACAGTTATAGAATGTGGTTTCCTGTAACCTTGCTAGATTATCGCGATTTAAAAACAATGGGATCATTCCTATATCTATGGGCTATACCAAGCCATAATATATTATGTCTTTTGGCGATCCTTAGGTCAGTGTCAATTTCAATGTATTATTTTCAGCTAATATTGATCAAGGTAGGTATAGGTAGAGTAACGAGCACGTCAAACTTGACGCTCAACATTTATTAAATTCAATTATCAATGGTCCAGTGCCCAACTTGATATGATCTTGAGTATATATACACACATTCCGTCATTTACGAATCGTTTTTTCAATTTGCAATTTAAATACAAGTCCCATCAAACAACTTCAACAATAAATTCATAAAACAATTTATGTATGATGCAAAACCACTCTGGCTTTATTCAGAGACAAACCAAACTAGAGCAACCTACCTGTAAAAATGTCGTCGGGGTACCTTAGACTATCTTTATTTTTTTCAATCCTCTGAATCGGGTACTGATACCAAACAACTGCTACAAAAAAATCCCAATAGTTACTAGGACTACCCAATGGAACTAGTGGGAATGAAGGTTTATCACCATTATGCTCCGTTATGCCCATGTTATGCCGCGCGTGCTTGAAGTTGACGATGTACGCGGATCTCTATTTTAATGTATAATTCCTATTCACGTCATTTGCAGAGGGTGTAATTCACCACATTTTTTAAGTCAAATATGAATGACAAACTTTAAGAACATACAGACAACACATACTATTGCTGAACATGGCTTAGCCCAAACCACAGGCAATCTGAAACTTTTGAGTTTATTTATATTATTTATTTACTCAAATATAGGGGCTAGGTAATATAAATAAATTTATAATAATTAATTATCACGGAAAGGGACTGTTCTCTTGGAATAGGACACTTACATAACGCGGAACTATTGCAATTTTCGCAATTGCATTTCAATTCCTATATGTAGGTATACATAGGACATACGAAAATAAAAGTAGCGCTTTCTAGGCATGAAGCGGAGCTAAAATTAGCGGCTCCGTAGGTAATTTATGAAAGGAGGTGAATGTATCCCGGAAGCCTATACTGAGTGCAAATAGTATATTCAGTTTCCTACATTTTATTTTAATAGATTATTTTATTATAGATCGGTTATCAAGGTTTATAGCTATTTGTTATTTTATTAATCATGACGACATAACTTTAATTTATAACTATTTAAACAATAATATCTGCATGGCATTAGATGACAAAATAACATCAAAAATATGTTTATTGAAGCAGGTTAAACCATGGATAAACATTACACCTTAATTACAAAAGTGTAAATTTACAAATTTGTAATTAAGACAACACATATTGTGTAATCAGTATTTATTGCACAACATTGTGCCTCCCCTACGTCATGTTCTTTTCCAGATAAATAGTTGCTGAATATGAATATGAGTCATGGGCACAAAACTTCATAATATTTGAATCATGAATGCACTATCTCTTTCAGAATCATGTAGCAAGCAGCAGCGTTAATGGAAACTAGACTGTTGATTTGTGTACTTAGATACAAAGACCGCTAAATGGAGGTTATCGAACTCATCTTCTTTATCGAGGTAACAATAGATAGATACGTAGTCTTGGATTTTCTTTACTTTATCAGCAGATATCATGTATTTTTATTATACCTAGGTAAGTAGTACGAGTACCTACATGCTTGCATAATTATTACCGTCATACTTGCACGCATGATACACTACGACGACGGCAAGGATTTGAGTATGATTTTCAGTGCTCACTGCAATACTCAAGTCCTGAGTTGAGTATTGAGTAGAGTTCTGGAATACGACCCCAAGTTAGTAATGATTAATGGAGGTCAAATAAAATTGAATTTCAAGCATGCGTTACAATAAGCTTCTTATCGTGGTAAGATGTTTTAGTAAATACCTAACCGTGGAAATTTTAAAATCTACACATATAACTTTCACAACTCGTAACTCATTTATTTACGGAAACATTGTATAGAAGTTTCAACAAATTAATTATAATAACCGTGTGTCAGACAAGCACACCAATTACCCTGTATTATGAGTACCAAAGCAACGGAATCGCATGGGCCACTATCCAGAACACCCAAACCAGGACCAATTTAGAAAAGTTCACTTATGAAATTGGTTCAACCGGGAATCGAACCCGGGACCTCTTCATCCAGCGCCTAACAAATGAAACCGCTAAGCCACCGAGGTCGTCCAAATAAGTATAGTTTCACCTAAGCATTGCCAAACTATAGGTAGGTACACAAAATTTAGAACGCATTCTGCACCTGTGCAGGCAGAACTGCTTTAGGCGACGAAAATATCGTACGGTTACTTGTAGTTTGTCTTGTACTCGAATACCATCGTAGTCCACCACCGTAGTACCAATTTTCCTAAAGAAAAAACAGAGCCTACACATGGATCACATCAAGTTAGCACCTGAAAATAAATTTTCGCCAAACTACATATACACAAAGTCCAACCCCAAAGTAATTGCTATACCTACTTTTGTACAAAAATGTAAAGGGTCCAGTAGTGAATTGCACCAAGAAACCAATAACAAACAATATACTATTATAATTATTCTTCACGCTATGTTTCTTATCCAATATTAAAAACAGTTTTTTGTTAACCCTATATACTGTCCCATTACTGGGCAAAGGCCCAGCAGTGGGACAGTAGATAGGTACATATAATATACAGGATGTATATTTGAAACGGGGCAGCAAGGCCAGCCACCTTAATCGTTTTAGTTACAGGAAAACGGTTCTAGAAGACTATCCATGAATTATGAAGACGTTTTGATTGGCATTCACAGATTTTGGAAAAATGGTACAGTCAGCAAGATAAAAGGCAATTTTTACAATTTTTTTTATGCCATTCGATCCGGTATCTGTTAAGTGTTTTTGTTAAGGTTTTGGTTAAGGTGTTTTGTCGATCGACACTGACGATCGAATGTCGATCGTATCTGTAGGCACCTTTATGTATTTAAAAAAATAAAAACAATAACAAAAAGCAAAATATTGCCTGCAGCTATGCGAATGGTCTCGGTGCTCAGGAAGGTACCGGTACTGGCAGAGGGTAAAGCGTGTAGCCAGTGGCCAGATTCCCACCTTGGCAGAAAGAATAAAAAGTAATAAGTACCAAGATCTCGGCTGCGACTATCTATTTACAGCCTTTGGAGTCGAAACCATTGGCCCGTGGAGTCCCAGTGCCCTTCATCTGTACAAAATTTTATCGAAAAAATTAATTGACTGCCTGGGAAACCCAAGGGCCAGCAGCTACCTTGCCCAACGCATTACCATAGCAATACAAAGGGAGAACGCTGCTAGCATCTTGGGCACCTTGCCGCGGGGACCCCATTTTATTCATATAATTTAAAAATCCTAGTTTTACTTTGTAGTAGTTGCTTTTATTGTCTTTTTACGTTACCTGTATAATATCTTTATTAAAACATTTTATTTTTCTGTGTTCCGTTCATCTCAAATTAGGACCGTAGTTTGCTCAGGTGAATAAGGTGAAACCAAAGCGCTTGGTACAATGCGTTCCTATAATAATTTAAGGGTTCAGGTGAGCAAAACAAATTTATGTGTGGTTTTACAGTTTATTATTTAACTATTATTTACAAGCTATTGTAACTATTATTAGCGAACACGATAGGTATTTATCTAAGGTTATAATTTTCGTCAGGCGGTTCTCCTCGTATTTGACGTTCTTCCATATCTAAGATAGCGTTAGCCCATTCCTCATTTCGTAAGTATCTACGGCGTTTCACGTACGGTGAATATACCCATTTGTGGACAACTACAACGACTGTTGTTACAGATATAGCCATTAACATTTTCACCGTTGGGCTACCTTGCTTAAGCCATGTCCTCACCGCCTGCATGGTTTATTTATCGTCAACACGCGTCGCAGATATATCAACTACTGGTTCAGCAACTTTAGTCTTCATGAAATACTCCACTAGCAACGGCTTCCAAATGTAAACCCCACCGAAAACACCTAAAATCGTGACCAAGACAAGTTGACCTCTAGTTACTCCTCTAGGTTTACGAATACGTAACATGTCGTATAAGCACAATTTTTACATCAGTAACATGATTTACTAATCGGATTACTTAAAATAAAGTAACATTCTTCCAATATTTTAAGGTTATTTTTATATAACCTCAATTATTCGTAACTTTTTTATATATTTTAATGGCTCGGCACTCTTAAATAGTCATAATTATTGAACCATGTATGATGTATCTGTGTGTACGTACTTTTAAATCAATCGATTTTGATTTCCTTTGCGGGGATACCACACAATTAAAAAAATATGTGTACGGTCTAGTTTCACTCGGAGTTAGAACGGGCCTACTCTAAAAATATAATACTCATCTGTAAAACTTTTTACTAATAAAATTATAATAATTATTTCATATATTTAATTGCCTCAGTGGCCGAATGGGACTTGTCGGACTGCCACGCAGAGGTCCCAGGTTCGATTCCCGTGCCGGAAGAAATATTTTTATGGCCTACATTCATTTATCTTGTGAGTTGGGGTGTAATTTGTGGTTGTCTATGTGTCTGTGTACATGGCACCCGCGACACAGGGTTTCCCTAGTGCGGGCTATGTTGAGTGCTTCGAGGATGGAAAAAAATGAGTGCTTAGAGGATGGAAGTTGAGTGTGTGCTTTATTATTATAATTCACGTTTAGGTATTGGCTTAGCCAAAGCCTTAATAAAAAAAATCTCATCTGTAGGCTATGAACGGGGCTTGAAATAAAACTACATATTGCTATCTCCTTTGCACTAAAGCGAATTGCTATTTACAAACAAAAAGCGACAGTCTGTTATGGCGTGTAGGTATAGTGTTCTGTTGGTTCTGTGGTTATGGCTCGACTATATAACCTTTAAATTGATAATAAATCCCTTTCTATATTTCTATATTTACAAAATTACAAAACAAATATACGAATAAAATCATACAAAGTGATGATGGCAAGCTATCCAAGAAAAGTTCCTAACATTTTAATAACAGGTATTACAATATTTTAACAGGTAAAACAATAACCTGTTGACCAGTAGTAATGTGTATTTTTCCTATTTTATCAGCTATGCAAGTTGTTCTAAGACAATTATCTTTGTTGAGACAGGCACCCCTGGAGTAGGCAAATCAACAATTTCCGGGTTGGTGGCAGAGAAAACAAATTTCATATGGAGAGAAGTTTCAAAATTGGCTGAGGAACATCATTGCTTAGATGAATACGATCCTGAATATCGGTGCCCCTTGTTGAATGAAGACAAGGTAAAATCACATCATCATCCATAGCCAGACTTCACTGGATATAGGTCACCTACAGTCGTCATTATAATAATAATAATAACGCACACACCCAACATAGCCCCACACTAGGGAAGCTCTGTGTCGCGGGTGCCATGGACACACACATAGACCTGGCGATGAAAGAGACTCTCTCTTTCTCTCTGACTCTCTCGGTCTTTTAAGGCATTTTATAACGACTAGACTCCATTTTAAAGGACTCAACTGTAATATTAAAACTGGAGGTTCAAGTTTTTATTAATAAGACTCAATCGTTATACTAAAAGACTTAAACGGCTTGAATGACTCGAGTTGTTTGTAATGGATTTATACCTACTTTAGTCTTATTAAACTCGAGTTTAAAAAATAAAAATGACGTAGTATGTAGTAAATAATCACGTTTATTTACTTATAATAAAAATTAGGATTCAAAGAGTGATTTAAGCAATAGGTATGAGAGTTAAGACCTAGTTATATAATGATTGCATACAATACTTTTTCTGCAAGTAAATTAAAATAATGAAATACAACCAATATTTAAGTCTATGGAAATCCAGTTCTAACATACCCTCTTTTTTAGTTTGTGTAATATTGGTCTGTAACCACTTTTCTTATTATGAAGTCCTGGTACTTTTGTTTAAACTTCTTTAGAAACCCGTGCACTGTAGTGAGATACAATTTATCTGTAATACATAGAACAAATATATACATAAAAATCTCGCCTGTCACCCATTCAGGGGTAGGCAGAGACTGTGGACCTCCACTTAATACGTTCATAAATGTTTCATTCATCACTATGGTCAAATGACAGTATCAGACACTAAAATTTGATAAAATACTTTGACTGTTGGGTTCTGTATCCATTCATTTTTATATTAAAGGAACAAATAATTCCCAAAAAACAAATTCTTGAATTGGTTATAATTAACTGACTTCTGTGAACAAAGCTACATTAACATTATCCATCAACTGTAAAATAAATATGTTGTGGGTAGAAATAAAATCACGCCATAAGGCTCATGACTCGCGACTCCCGAGGCTATAAGGCGCCAGTCATTTTAGTAATTTTAGTCTTACAAGTCCTTTATGCTTCCTAGAGTTAAAAGACTTCGACTTGAATTAGTCTTCAGTTTTAGTCTTATGACTCAAGACTTGAGGGTTAAGACTAGACTAGTCACAGAGGTGTTAAAAATTAGTCGAGGTTTTTTAAAAGGCCTTAAAAGACTGAGTCTTTTTCATCACTACATAAACAACCACAAACTACACCCAAACTCACAAGAGAAATAAATGTAGGCCATATGGAGGCAGCTAATTTACATTTTTTTTACAAGTTACATTACATTACAAGTTGGCATTACACTACACACATTTTGTAGTAGTCTCATTCATGTACAGCAAATGAAATCAAATTATAATGGTAAGGCAATTGTTATGTGTCTATGAATTACGCTTTAAATGGCGGATCAGGTTTGGGTGAAATGCTATGTGAAGAAAGATTTTAGAATTTTGTAATAATTATTTTCTTTCTAAATGCACACAGTACAAAATTTTCTTCTCTTAAGGAATGGGATTCATTTAAAACTATTTCTTTAAATTCCACTTTGATTAAGATATGTGTTTGTTATTTCAGCTTCTGGATGTAATGGAAGGCTTGATGGTGAAGGGTGGCAATATAGTAGATTACCATGGCTGTGACTTCTTCCCTGAGCGCTGGTTCGATGGTGTCTTTGTGATCAGGACTAATAATACTGCTCTTTATGACAGGCTTTCTGCTAGGTAAGCATATTAACTTGTGTGGTGACTCTGACAGCCCTCTGTGCGTATTCTAATTATGCAACAAGAACTTATGATATGACTACTTGAAGATACATATTATTATAATGTGCCAAATAAATATAGAGGATTTTAAGACTTTCGTGGTTATTCACTAAATGATTATCACTAGTATCACGTTTCTTACCACGGTATGACTTCTTTTTATTTTCCCGATATTTCGTTGACTCAACCCGTGACCATGGAGCGTGCAACCGTTCCGAAATATCGGGAAAATAAAAAGAAGTCATACCGTGGTAAGAAACCTGATACTAGTGATAATCATTTAAATATAGAGGAGTTTGGCAGGTCCACTGCCCGACTCAACACTTGTGAAACCTCCAAAGGTTTAACAACTTAAGGGCTCGTAACAACAATATTATCAACCTTTGGTGTTGTTTTTGATCTATGTACTTTGATCAACTTTCAACTGTTTGTAATTTCTTTGGTAAAACCCATGTAAAACCTTATTTTTTATATAAAAGTATTTATTTTTCTACTAGAGGCTACACAGGCAAGAAGCTAGAAGACAACATTCAATGTGAAATATTTGAAACCCTATTGGAAGAAGCACAGACCTCATATAAACCAGAAGTAGTCACAGAGTTGCAGAATAATACAGAGGAACAATTACATGAGAATGTTGACAAAATTATGAACTGGATAGAAAAGTGGAAGGAGGAGAATTTATAGTATAGATTTTAATAAAATTTGTGTTTAATGTTTTAATTTTTGTTTTTAATTATAAAATACTATTAATATAATTACCTGCGAATTTTACAGTATATGAATTTAGAAATGGAGTCATAAAAGTGAATGATGGTGTTGTATGGTATGCTAAAGGGCTGATGTCCACAACACGAAGTCTGGGCGCCTATTTTGCGTGATATTATTAGATGGTTTATATCAGTGTCCATATATTCTGACATCAGTGCCTCTATCTTGAGTTTACTGTGACAGTTGTTGCTAACAACCGCGTAACTTGCTTCACAATTTTGTATGCAAATTATACAACGCCCTTAGGTGTCACACGAAGAGCGATAAATGTCACTGTAATCTCATGGTAGAGGCACAGGATGATGGACAAATTGAACCGAGTAACAAATTGAAATTATTATTGTAGGTTGAGATCACATAGTATACGTGACCGTCAGGATGGCTGGCCGCCTGTCGCATCTGGCACTGAGTGTATATTCAAGAATTGCTACCTTTTCTAAATAATTGCTACCTTTGATATATTCTGAGAAATCAAAATACATAATTGACCAGCCATTCTGACGTCAGGATGGCTAGTCGCCACTTTGTTCAGCATGAAGGGAGCAGATTTCCCAGAAGCATGTATTACCAATAATTGCTACCTATTTGCTACTTTCACGAATTAAAGGTATACGCTTCCTATCTACATTAGTTAAAAAAACATAAACGATTAAAAATTTTACGGAGAAGTACCAAGGCCTGCCCTTTGTATTATGGCAATAAAGCACTAAAAACTTGCTTTTTTATGCAATAAAATTATCTTAGTGTCTAGTCTATTAACTTTTTTAAATTTTAGTTAAATAAAATTATCTTAAAAGTAATATGATTTTACTGTAATAATACAAAAAATATATATCAACTATGAAAGCTTCTATTATGAAGTAGCATATCAAAGAAGTATACTAATTTGTATTATGAAATAATATTAGTAATTTTGATCATTCATAAGCGGCCACATTTTCTGTTAAAATTAAAAAGTTAAATGGCTGGCTGAAACATGAATGAACACCCTATTAGAAAGAGACGCATTACTACTTTGAAGCCTCTCACTCGGCTCGTCCAGTTTAATATACAAGTCCGTTGTTCTAGTCGCAAAAAACTAGATTTATTCGGTCAGTCCGCCATTCAAGTTATAAGGGTGTTTTGTTGTCCACACTGGAATAAGCATTATCCCAACGGCGCCATTTGTCAATCTCGAGAACCACAACACCTAGCTTAGATCTGATTACACAAAAAGTCGTGATTTAGTCGGTTCTAGTCGTAAAAACTGAATTTAGGCGTTACGCCGTTTTGATGAATCTCGAGAACCAAAGTTATAAAAGCATATCTGCCTGCACCCAGAAAGTCTGTTCTAGTCGCGCAATATTAGAATTAGTCACTCCTTTGTTTAGAAGATACAACCACAAAAAACAAAATTATTTCAAAGTTAGACCTGTGTTAGTCTCGGAGCTCGCGTACAAATTTTGCATAATATACAGAATTTGGTTTTTTTTTTAAATACATGGTAATTTGAAAATTTTAATAATGTTTAGTTTTTAATACTAGGAAATTAGCAAAGACACGCTCTATAATCATGCAACGTAGTAATGATGACAGTATTTTTTCATTTTTTTCAACAAGACAGCAAGAATGGGGAATTAAATAAAACACTAATTATAAATACAACCTAATTTTATTCACCCGACTGACAGTTATATAGAAACGCATTCAATTACTGTATTTAGATATATTCTAAAAAATAAACACCTGAACCATGGAAACCCAGCATGTATAACAAAAAGCTGTCACATATTTTATTCCATACGCAGTTTCCATGAGTCATATAAAGTACAGATAGAGAAATACAAGGAGGGTACAATAGAACAGAGAATAATTGTAGTAAAAATGCAATTTTACAGCCATCGTGGAATGTAGAACAGAAAAAACAATCTGAAAATATGGAAGCAAAGATATGGCTCGTAGGACATTACATTTTTAACTAAACATAAAGCTTGTGGATATCTAAATCTGACATTTTTGCTTAGTTTTGTAGATATTCCTAAGCCAATCACTTATAAAGTAATCTCTGAAACTTTAAATGTTGGGTAACAATGGATATGTTTTGGCAGTGGAACTTTATTACAACTACTTAAGATACATATTATTTCAGAGATACAGGTTTTGTAAATTACAAACCTTTTCTATATAACGAAAGATCTTGATACCACCACCAGACATTGTTACCTAAAAATTTCTCAAAGAACATTCTAGAGAGTTCCACAAGTTTCTAGAACGATTGTACCTCCACACAATCACACAATCTCATAGATCATTCTTCACAACGCTTACAACTCCTCCTTTTTGGGCTTGCCGTTTCTGTCGAAGCCCTTGAGTTCTGTAGCGGCGTTCTGGGCGACATAAGTGATAAAGTTATCGAGCTCCCGGCCACCCTGGAATCAGAATATGAATATAAAATTAGATGAAACATTATCTACGCGTTGGTTATAAGTTTGTATTTAACATAAGTTAAGACGTTAAGAAGTTGATGAACTAACTGATTTAGACTATTCTTTAAGCTTTGGTATGGTGTCCCAGCAGTTACATAAGAAATAAAAATAATACTCATAATTGCCAAATACCTAAACAAAACAAACGCAGGGTACAACGCCCTTATTGCTATTATGTTAATGAACAGTAAAGTTAAACATCCTTCGATCTGTGTCGGAAACGGATTATTCTCGACGTACAAATGAAATCCGTGTCCAGTAGTGGAAAGTGTACAGATAAGCCATACTCATCAACCTGTGGCCTGCCAAATTTTTACGTGCGGCCCGAAACACTATTATTAGAAACGTGCTTTTTAAAATTATGTTCAGTTTTCATTTTATTTAAATCTTGAGCAAGATGAATTTAACTTGTTTGAAAAAAAAGCACTCCTGCCATTTGGCTCCCATACGGTTACCTATCAGTAGTCCGAAATGTCATTTTCCAGAAATAATGTTTGCTCGAATTTTCATCACCTCGAAAGTAATTTTGAGAGGAAAAATGTTTTTCTTTTTAAACCTAACTTAACCTAACCTAACCGAACGATTCGCTCTGGGCCTTTTGGAGGGAAGTGTCGTTTTTATTTTGACTTTCAATTATTTTATGAAATCTGGTTTAAAGTGGAATAGAATAGTGCTATTGTGCCTTAATCGACGATTAAAACGCGAAATTATACGAATCTCGAACTAAAATACCCGTATCGGCCCGTTCTAACGAATCCCGAGTCAATCCAAGCACGCCACCTCAAATCGCCTATCCTCTTTGTGGCGGCCATATTTACAGAAACATAATTAAACGAAGACATGGCTCAAAGGACTTGTATCCAAGCCAAAATTATTAATAAAAAAAACCTAATTGTGTCTTTGCGATAAACATCCAACATATCCTGAAAGAACAACGATTTCGTTATGATTTTTCGGTTTTCGGTGTAATGAAAATTCGAACAAACGTCATTTCGGAAAAAAATTCGAGTTTGTGATAGGTTACACTCCTATACCTATAATTCCGTTTATAATTTTATATCCTTTTGATTCTATACGGTTGCTAACTTTTTAAAACATGCATGTAGCATCTTTAATCTATGGGGCTTCTATAGCATTTTAGCGGTAATTCTTGAACTAGTGCTTACTACCTAATTTTCGTGGCAATTTTTATAATTTAAGTATTCGATTTTTTTTATCATGTAATATTATTCAATATTCGAGTATTGTATCGTGGTAATATTATTTAATAATTCAATATACTTGAATATTTAAATAATAAAAATTCCCACGGAAATTAGGTGGTGAACACTATTCCGAGAATTACCATTAAATGTTTTGTGGTTTATTCATTACAAGGGGAGTAAGTGTAAAACCAGGTGACTAACTAATTTAAAAATTATAATTTCATTAATTTAGGATGACCTAAAAAAATGTTGCGGTCCGTGTAATGTGGCCCGAAGGAAAAAAGGTTGAGTATAGCTGATGTAATATCGATTGATATACTACAAGTAGCAACAATACTAACATTATATCTAGTAGGTTTCTGGCTGGCGTCCTTAGGCTTCCAGAAGATGGTGGGGAAACCGGAGACGTCGAAGAGGGACTTGGGCCAGTCGTTGGCGGTAGCGTCAATCTTGATGATGTCTATGTCCTCATTTGCCAGCTGTGGATGATATTTACGTGAGAATAAATCTTTAATAATAAAGTTAAAAGGAGAACAGTTTACTGCAATTGTAATTATTATTTTTAATTATATAAAGACTCGAAGATGGGGTGTGTAAAATGTATCATAAATATTTTTGAACTAATGCTCAATTTATTAAATAAAATTATACTTAAAGTATAATTTTTTTAAACATATTTTTTTCATATAACAGTTCACTTAAAATAGCGAAAGTTTAATATAAACTTCAGTCTACAACACAATTTTTGATAACAATCATCTTCTAACACAAATTTCAAATGAAAATCATAAGTTATAATTATAAATCTGAGTTTACATAACCAAATAGATTCCTAAACTGAAATTAATTTGAAACGTAAACAAATTCGGTTTTCGCTTTTTCAATGTGCTAACCCATCGAGTATATTCTAGCGTCCGCTAACTTAGTAGATGCGGCTAAGTGACAAAATCGACCCCTCCCACGTAGTGTCGTATGTCGAAATTGCCAAGTTTACAGGGGAGCCTTTTAAAGTTCTCAAATCACTGAAATAAGCATAACAAGTGACTTCTCACTTTTATTGGGCAAATCTCGTTACTCACATAGAGTATTATAAAATCCTAGATATCGCTTAGATTATATACTAGATGATTACAACACTTTGCCGAATTAAACGGAGAACTTTAAAACACTCCCCCGTAAACTTGGCAATTTCGACATACAATACTTTGCGTAGGAGGAGTCGAAATATATTTTTGAAATATAAAAGAACCATAACCCAGTTTTAGAATATTGAAATTGTTTAATGATATTTCAGCTACGCATCGTTAGGGTAGGTTCTGATTAAGTCGAATACGTTATATAATTCTGTTTTTAAAAGAGAATTATGCTCTGATTTTTTTTCTATTCAAAACGGATATTTGACAATTTGTCACTTAGCTGCGTTTTGGTTAGCGGGCGGCAGATGTACTCGATGTACTAACCTAACCTGCCCCTCCTTTAGTAGGAGGTCACATTACAGGTACAGTTAAATGCCTCGTGAACTTGATTTGAATTCACAATATATATAAAATGATAGTTATATAAAAAGAACTTTATATAAAAAATGAGTACAAAAATTAAATTACAGGTAGTGTGTTTAGTTCAAGTGAAAATTATATTAATATGTATTAAAATAACTTCATTTGATTTTCACCATTTTCACACAAAATGAAGCGCACCCCAGTTTCGCTCTCTGTTACAAATGCATCCATCTCACTCACTGCATGTCCATTTCTACATCTAATTCAGTATCTTCTGCAAAAGCGAAATACGTCACGGGAACTTAGGCGCATGTTAATAGCTTCTAAGTTCGGCATTGTGTTTCAAGCTCTTCTGTATTAATAGACTATACTCAGCGGCATCTTGGAAGGTAGTGTATGATACAACCTACTCAAATAACAATTACAATATAGCATCTGGGTCAACGAACTTTCATTTTTAGAATATTTATCTCGGGTTGGCATATGGGCATGTTGAAGAGACCGATGCTAGTGGAAGAGGCAAGATGTTTGTCCGAAGTGTAGCGAGTGGCGTCATTGTTTGTATATATGGTAAAATAGAATAAATAAAACTATGACAGAAACAGACTACAGCGATTATATAGTATAATGTTACGTGAAATAAAACAAGTGTTGTTACCTTTGTGCCAAGTTCTTCCCAAATAGGGGCAAGTTTCTGGCAATGTCCGCACCAAGGCGCATAGAACTCGATGAGGGCATCACGGCCGCTGTCAGTCACAAGTTCCTTGAAGTTCTTTCCAACTGCTACCTTCACTGGTCCGTCATTCGTCTCCGGCACAGGCTCAGATTTAATGAAAGGCTCTAGTTTGCCATCCATGAGGTCTTTTGAGAATTGCAAAAGGTTATCAACGCTGTAATGACAAGATTGTTTCTATTAAATTTTGAAAATTATACATACATGAGAAAACTCAAAACGATTACTACTTTCTTTGTTTTAATATAAAATTTAAATGTTACATTTTTAAATTTGTTCTATGTTGTATTTGATATCTAAGGTCTTGTCGGTGTAGTTGTTATATTATGCAGTTGCAATGAAATAATTATTGTTCCCATTCACTCATTATGTAAGGAAGGCTGAATGTTTACTTTGTGTATCACAATCGCACCTAAAAACTTAACTTAGTACAGTAAGTGGCTGATGCAGATCTTTATATTATACTTTATACTATACAAACGGCAATTTTGGTTGAATGCAAATTTGAACGCCAAATATATATACGGCAGAATCTTCAATAAAAATAGATGTCTATGAGCGTTGGTAGCCCAGTGGGAGAATGGTAGTCTCTCAATTGAGAGGTTGACGGTTCGAATCCGTGGAGCGACAGGTACAGTATGAATTTATTTCTAACTTACATAATAATGATTTTATTAATTGTTTTTTGTTTATTTTTATTTTTCTTGTACCTTGTTTATTTATTTATTAACATTTTATTTCAATGTCAGGATTGCACACTTCAAATTGCTTTACTCTTTTTGATTTGCTTTTTATTGCAGGTGATTTTGTGTTTATTTTCTCTTTTTGAGGTGTCAAAATAAAAAAATGTAAAAATGTGGACAACTGTAATTGGCGCTGACAAGCTTTACCTAAAAATATTCATTGTAAATCGTTATTTATCGTTATTTGTTGTTTCGAATAAAAAAATAATGTTTAGTAGCAATGCCTCTAGCTAACAGTGCTGGAAGACATCGTAATGAAAATTGTTGGTCGAAGAAGGTACACAACTCTTGTGAATGCCTCTTGGGTCAGGGTGACGGACAGTGTCCTAAACCTATTCATAGAAGAAACTCTTGGGGTACTAAAAAGGAGCCTTTCCGCACGGCGCGCACCATTCCTGCCCTGTACGTCTAGCGCAACCTGGGCGCCAATCGGCGAGTACTGTACGCCGACTGGCCAATCCCTTTTCACCACAATGGCAAGCATTGTAGTATATATCGATACCATGAGGAAACCGGAGTTCATCTCACCTGAACTCCTTGTCCATGACGAATTTGTTGCCATCGGCATCCTTGCCAGCAACCACGGGTTTCTCGCCCTTTGCGAAGTCGATGCCGTAGTCATTCAGCTCGTGGGTGAAGTCGTCCTTGTCGCTGATCGCGAAGTTCACGTCTGGCAACGCCTTGGCAACCTGTTGAAGAAACAAAAGTGGTTATTTGGATCGAATCTAGCAGAGCTAGCTGTAATATTCTACAGGATATATCACGGAGTCTGAGATGGAATTGCACGATTTAATTCCGCCTATCCCTTTCACCACCAGAGGAGTGAACAGCTATGGAGTGGAATTTCCTGCCTAGACTTATTCCCTGAAGATTATAACTTGGACCTTTTCAAGACGAGAGTAAATAGGCATTATTTAGGTGTGCATGCTCCATCGTTAATGGATCGTTAATTTAACTGCCTCCGTGGCCAAACGGTTACCATGCTGGACTGCCACGCAGAGGTCCCGGGTTCGATTTCCGGGCCGGGAGAAATATTTTTTATGGCCTACATTTATTTCTCTTTCTTGAGTTTGGGTGTAATTTGTGGTTGTCTATGTGTGTGTGTGTGCATGGCATCCGCGATACAGGGTTTCCCTAATGCGGGGCTATGAGTGTGTATGTGTTATATCGTCAAATTTACCATCAGGTGAGATGGCGGTTACATTTATACGTTATAAAAAATAAATAATTGTCAATTGTAAAAAATCGAAAAAAATACAATGACAAAGAAATAATTATATAAAGTCAAATGTATTAAAGTAAGTGGGTGTTCGCTTTTAAAGATTGTACGTCTTAAGGACGTTGCGTCAGTGTACTTTTAATCTAAATAATATTATTACACAATCCCGGTTAGTTATCTCACCTTAAGTACACGGTTTCTCCAGTAGTTGGTACCCTTGGGATTCTTAACGTAATCGACGTCGTAGTAAGCGATCACAAGAGGGTTGGTGAAGTCCTGTACGTTCTCCTTCTGCCGCACACCCACCAAGCCATGGCTGGAAGACAAATTGACATTCTTAATATAAAGATCGAACACAAAGAAAAAAATCCTTCAATGTAACAGGACACGAATCTGTATGCCCATCTAAGGCAACTTTTCAATTCTTAATATGTTACTTCCGAGATGGTCTTGCCTTTATTACGTATTATATACATATACAGTCATGTTTACACCAAATTTTCCTAATAACTATTTGAAATAATATCATTATTGACATCGAAAAATAGCATTTTACAGAAACTCATAAAATGTACGAATTTCATATCAATCATCAGTCACGTAGCATGTTTGTAGTTTACTTTTTAAACCCATTTGGTCAGCTATCCAAACTTTTCGATTTAAGTCGCTTTATAATTGGGAGTGTAAAATTTCCCCATAAATTAGGTACTTATTTAGTTTTATCCAATTTTCATTTGAATTAAAATTAGGAATATCAAAAATTTTATGTGAAAAGATATTTTGAGAGATTTCCGCTCTACTTATCAACTTCAATTATAGGAAGGAAAGAAAGAGCTTAGGGCCCATAGAAGGTGTCAACAAAAAGTAATTTAATAAAGTTTATTTCTTTTTTACTTGGTTACGATGAAATCTCTTTGGATAAAAAGTACACTTCATAGTGTTAACATTAACAAACATGTGTCTCGAACATACAATACCTACAGTCTTTAAAGAACAGAAAAAAATAAAAAATTTGCATTTCTATCAAGACATTAGCAAAACAAATTTGATCTTGCTGCCCAGTTTCGCATCGAGACATTCTGAAGTGACTGAAACCTTAATTATTAGGTTGCATATAGGTTGTATGTCAAGTATACTTACTAGTTCTCTTTGATAAACGCCTTTATAGATCCGACGCCATTGTAAACGACGAAGGAGTCCTCGAAAGTGTTTTGCAAGCGTTTGGGACGGTACAGCACTACGTTGTCCCTGGGAACAAGATAGAAAAATACTTTTACTACACATACTATTCAGCGAGAAAGTGGTTGTTAAAAAAGTAATAATTCAAGATTCATCATACATGATTAATTAATTACTATATATAAATTAAATTTTGCTACTTTTAAATCCCTCATCTTCTAAATGGCATTTCATGGGGTTACACTATTTTTGCATTGACAGCCTCAAATAGAGATGAAACTATTTTTTACGCGTTTAATTGTTCTTTCAAACTAACTATGGCTTCGAACTCTTTGCAGGTCCCATAGTCACCGTTGACTGTTAGTCTGTCTGGCTGTCAATATACTAGATATAGATCCGAAACAGTTTCATTTCCAATGTGTAACTCTCGCGAAAAACGTATGCACTCGAAACTTACGTTATATATTTTGAATACTAACAAATGAAACTGAATGAATGAAATCTTCTTTATTGCACATAAAATTAGTTAAAATACAATACAGTAACTTAGGTATAAATATAGTGAGATAATGTGCGACAGGCGACCTTATTGCTGTGTAGCAAATTTCTTCCAGGCAACCTTAGGATAGAAATTTAGGATATGCAAAAGGGGTGCACCAAAGAATGTCATTATAAATACACTACATAATAATTGTTAATAAACTCATATACGTAGATAGAAATATCCACACAAATATTATTAATACATAACAATACATAAATAATAATATTTAATTCTTATATACTTTAAAAGAAAAAAGAACTGAATTATTTTTATGCACTCGTTATAGAAATTACAATAATATAGGATCGTCATCAGTTTTCTATTAAATTTCCATTAAATTATACAGCTACAAAATGACACATAAATTTTAACAAAAACAGCCAAATTGGGCTGTGCATGGTAAATTTTCAACACAATAAAACATTTTCAACAGTTTGGAAACACCAAGAAATTTCTTAAAGTCCTAACGAGTAACTACAAAAATTACGCTGGAAAATGTTTCTATCTCGCCCACACATATGCGCTCGCGTCAGCCCGGCAGAGATATCAACAAAATTAAGAAATCAAACTTGTCATACTGATAAACCAGTCCTCTTAAATATGCGTGGAAATAAAACATCATAAATAATGTATTTATAGATATCATCGTTCACCCAAAATTATGCCTCAGTTATTTTTTTATGAATTGACATATAAGTAAGTGTAAGTAGCCTAACAGTGTGTGTAGTAGTTGAAAATAGCTGCACGTAGTACATGGTTTAAAGACGTTTGAAATTACTTGAATACGTAACTATTGAGTACGTAGATGTACTTTTGTATCTGAGAGAGTAATAAGTGTCTTTTAAGTAATCTTTTCTCAGGCAGTGATTCCTAGCACGGCAAGGTTGTTGGTTCCAACTTGCTATAAAATGTACTTACAAATTTTACAGGCTTATTTGTAAAATGTTAACAACCTCACAGGACAAAACACCCAAACATTGGAACGAATATACAGGCATTTCAGTAGTTCGAGATCGGTTAGCTGTTGTAATTGTTTGATGAAATACAGGAATTCAATAATAAAATTATTAAAGTCCTCGTTAATCATCAGCCCTTGGAAACTTAATAACACAATAGAAACCGAACGCAAATGTTGAATGTTTAAAAAAGTTCTTATCGGAAACAAGTTCTAACGAAGCGGGCCGTGTAATGTGTGAAATAGTGGTAAATTGCACCACCGGTTGTTCGTACTACATTGTACGTACTAAACGTCACGCACCGGAACGAAATTATTAAAATCGATTTCTCTAAATCGATCAGCCGGGACATAATGATTATGTTTTCGCGGTCTTTACTTGTTTTAAGTCAGGGGTGAATATGCTGGCACTTGCATTGGGTGCTTTATCGTATTCTTATTCCGTTGTTATCTTCTAACCAGACACTGGCCACCATAATAGTAATCCTTAAATGTCCTCTGTGCTACTCTGAAGAACAGGGCGACTCATCCGTAGAACAAAGCCCTAACAAGACTGCTTATTCTCAGGACATTGTACATTTCGTTAGTTGTTCTTGGCTGTGGATATTAGATAGATCATTGTTCAATTTTATAATTCATAATTTCGAAACGAAACAAAATAATAAAATTCAGAAAATTAAATGGCTTTAGTTCGGATAATGAGATTATGTGTTTATCGTCTTCGCACTGTATCATTGCATTGGACTCTCTTCTTCGGCGAGACAAGGGTTTTGACGCTCGATTGATTTGTCTTCCTAGAGTTTTTTCCCCCCAAGATCTGTTGCGTTTATCTGTCACTGATTATTCTTTGGATTAAGAGTGGAGAAGAACGTACTGATTGTTTTGCATTATGTACTTAGGGCCCGAGTAATGTTAGAGCTATAAATTATAGGGTTATAGGTAATTAAATCTCAAGAAACGAGGACGCTAACTGGATGAAAAAGGGCTTGGGCGCGAAAGAAATGAACAGCGTTGAAGAAATCACACACCCGAAAACGGGTGACAAAATCAGACGGATGGACCAAGTGATATATACATTTTAGAATTTTAATTAGTGATTCTATTCATCAATAAAAACAAATTGGTTACCACCTTCTAGATAAATAAGTATAAAATTCAGTCAGGCAGTCTTTGTGAGATACTTGATGGTTGAAAGGTCTCGAAGACGGGTGACAAAGTCACACAGATGGACGAAGTGATATACATGTCAAAATTTCAATTAGTGATTCTACTTATCATTAAGAACAAATTTGGTGACCATCTTTTTGACAAATAAGCATAAGTCAGTCAGGCACTTTTTGTGAGTTACTTGATGGCTCAAAGGTCAATCGCTACTTAGGTTTGTAGTTTATTAACTCCAAGGTAATGTTAACCACCAAAATACTTAATTTGGGAATTATCAGGTTTCTTCGGAACATTACAGAATTCTTCTTGACTAACTATCAAAATTTAAACTGTTTGTTCAATTTGCACAACAAGCCGAATAAGTTATTAGTTTTACAAAAGCTTTTTGAACAGTTTTTGATCTGTAATCAAAAACTGTTCATATGTAAAATTATCGGCGCAAGTCGCGTGAATTCGGCTTATTAAAATGAACAAAAGCAACATTCTTTTTTTTATGATATTAAGAAGCGTTGTTGTTTGGAGAGAGAGAGAGAGAGAGTGGCGGGAGACCGCCAAAAACAATGGAGGATTTTGGGGGAGACCTTTGCCCAACAGTGGAACATAACAGGTTACTAAAAAAAATAAGTAGCGGGACGAATAAGTTGTGCGTTTGGTGATAAGTGACATGCTTACCCATAACAGTTGGAGTGCCACTCAAGACTTTTTAAATTGCTAAGCTCTGTGCGGCAGTGCCACTGCGCCCGTCACATTGAGGCATAATTTGACAAATCCTATGTGCCTGCAATTTCACCAGCACCCTTATACCTTTCAAAGTCGGAACGTAATAATGCTCTCATTACTGCTTGGCGGCAAGAAATAGGTAAGGCAGGACTTGCCTGGACGAACTCTTTCACACGGAGCTGTATTGATACTGCATTGGTATATGTATATTTCCTAATCGATATCGCAGTAATTGTGCCTTTAATTAGTGTAAGTATAAAAAAGATAAGGCAATCAATGTCCCCTTTGAATTAATCATTTATCTTACCATGTTGTTCAATTGTCGTAAACTGAGATTGAAGCATAATCGAGATAAGAGTCAACACTAGGATCGTAAAATCTGTTATTTCCAATAAACTACGATATTACTAAGTTGATGGTTAAGTATATTTAGCTATTTCAAGATATTAGCAACTGTCGTTGTAACTAACCTCCTAATATCCAGTAAACCACAATGGGAAAAGCATTAAACGCCTTCAAAAGTAACTACAATTAAACGCTGTAAAATGTAGTACTAAAAATAAATATAATTGGTTGTCAAGCACTTAAGCATGTTCTGTAGATTGTAATGGAGCCTCCGCAGCCTCCACACATCTTGTAGCGAGTTTAAAGTTCAAAATTCACAAGGAAAAAGAAACGGTGGAAATAAATCCGGTTTTGTAAAAAATATTTGAAATTTTTTTTAATTTTTTCAATGTTTATTAAGCTATTTTTGGTAACTGGTAAACGGGTCAAAATTGACGAGCAGCACTGCAAAAAGGCGGATGACGATGGAAGGTAGTTTCGTCACATAATTACATAGTTCAGACACAAGCAAGTATGCCATCAGTTTTGTATGAAAAACGCAACGGAATTTTTTAAAGTATTTTTCTAGACAACTTATGGTCACATATGTATAGTATATATAGCCCAAATATGAATGAGATGTGTTTATTATACTATACACCGGGTGTTTACGTGATCATAGATAATATTGTGTGGGTCTGAATCACTTCACAAATTACGTACATTTTTGTTACGTACTGTTTGTTATTTTGTACAATAAATAGCATATCGTCTGGGAGCTGTTTATATGGAAACAACCTGTGTGGGGAAAAAGCTCACACTTTAATGTATCAATGAGATATACTGGATATTGTAACCGGAAAACGCACTTTAGTGGATGGGCCCCACCAAGTCACGCGGTCGCATTAGGCATTTTGTAGCTTCATGGTCATTCAAATAACTTTGAAAATTAAGGAATTAAATATTTTTTCCTGGGCCATGATTGTTGAAAAATCTATAAAAAATGTTCTATTGTAGTTAGCATAAACTCGGACAATTTCGCTCGAAATTTATGAGTTTTTGAGCACTTGCAACGTCAAATTAGTTTCTAAAGAGAAACGGAAGAAAAGGACATTAGATATCACTTTTTAGGTCGAATTTTAAATATTAATTAAAAGAGTTTAAACGAAGTTTCATCCTTCCAAACAAACACATGGAACGCACTCGCAGGAATATCCTTTGTGTGCGTAACGAAATTCAAACTAAACGCAATTTAAAATTTTTATACATAAGACAAAGTAAAATGTGTACAGTAGACGGAATAGAAGCTCGTTAACATATAATTTGTTATTTAACTTTTATAGTTACGATATGTATTGTATTACTTACCTATTTGGTTTGATAACTTATCATTTTGCGTAATGTAGTTACGATGTCGATTGTTTAAATGTAGTAGCCGGTTACTGAGTGAAACGTAATTAAATTTAAATAGGTAGTTATTATTAATATAATTAAATTAAACAATAATGTGCATTAGCATCGTTTATGACATTAACTAGGAATTTTGTTTTTTTATTTAATCTACAGAACTCGTACGTTGAGAAGCAGAGCATATTTGTATTAGATAAATAAACTTTGAGTAATACGCATAGAGTGGATAGTACCACCCCCTTAAATCGTAGAATTATTAAAGTGGAAATGTATTTAAAAAAAAAAAAATCATATTTTTAATTACAATTAATTGCTAGTTACACATCAAACGTATGGAAAAAAATACAATACAATTACTCTGTGCCTTCAGAGGGAGGTATTATTGACTCTATGTGTATTATGTCCTTGAAGTTTAGATAAATATACTGTCTGTATGTTCCGATCTCCGGCGATTATACATACTTGAGTATTCTTCATATTTAGTGAAAAGGTTTTAATTGGGTGGAGTATGATGCGAGAAGGTAAGATTGAAAGGATGTTCAAATTTTAAGTAACAGTAGATAAAATTGAATGAGTTCTTCCAGCGAAGTATTACCACCTTACCTATTTCTACCGCCATTGTGTAATGTGAGCATGACTGAGTTCCAGTTCGAAGGGTAATGGTGATGTAAACTGACAGGCACGTGAGGCTTGCCACCTTATGTCTCAGAGTCACGGGCGCATTGGCAGCGTAGCTATGATTTAAAGGTCTGTAAGATATTACAACTGTTGTAGACAGGTGTGTCGCTTACTACCAGGCCCACAACCTTATCCTTTTCCCAATATTAGTTTTAATGTGTTTTTTTATAGCACCAAGTAACGGGATGAAATAACAGGTAGTGAGGTTGATGGTAAGCGACACGCCTGTCCAGAACAGTTGTAACGCCGTTCAATAAGGTGATTCACATAATCAAACCGTTACGATATCATTCATCATATTCACGTGGGACAGCAACGTCAACGAGTACAATTTTAAAGTCGTTCGATCCAAATGTCGTTAAAGCGTATTCTGGTATATAAATCGACTCTAAACGACAAGTCATACGTATTCTGCTAAAAATTTGACAGTTCTTTCAATAGACGTTCGACGACTAAATGTCAAATTTCACAATCCAAGATGTCGTTCATTAGTCGTTACGTTTAGAATCGAAACTTAACGAGTAATGAACGACATCATATCAACGTTCGTTCAAGTGATACGCGAATACCCATTTTATTGAATTTTAAATTTACACATCACATTTTAAAGTTACACATAGAAAATGAAAATATTTTTCCGTATTTAAAACTGGTTTGTTTGTAAAAAAAAAACAAATATACGCGATTTCAATCCGGAAAAATAGTTTAATTTCCTAAATGTGACGACAGTCTCAATTCTATAACAAAAACCGAACATTTTTTTTCATTTCAGATAAATTTTAAATAGGTAACGTTTGTCTATGACTCACAATTCCAAAATGATTTGATTAATCTCAAAATATTGTCATCTCTATCACTCTCCACCAGTTCACAGATTTTTTTCCAATGTTATTAATTAAAGAATAAAAATGTAATGTCAAGAAACGTTAAAAACAATTAACAATCAAGCAGCAGTTGGTCATACCGAATTAGTTAATTTGGTCTAAATCATCGAGTATATATATAACCAGAAGTAGAGCCTAAATAAGGGTCATCCATCACTGGCAACTCATCAGGCAAATGGGCCTTATATCACTTTTAAATATCAACTCTCGTTTGCACTGAAATCATAAATTAGAAACCTAAAATAGTACAGCGCCAACAACTGACCTGTGTGTACGTCTCGGTCTATGCCAAAAAAATTCTATATTTTTTGTAATAAAGATAATATCTCTAACAATGGGAGCCGTTACATTTGGTGGTGTGGGAAAAACAGCAAAACATCTAATTACAAAAACAAACAGAATCACATTTCATCGGTAATTAAATATTAAATATGTAATTTATTCGTTTTCGTCCATTAAAGCAAAGCTCAAGTTAAACTGGTCGTTTTGATGTGAAACAATTAATTGAAGACACCATTGACTTACAAATAAATGGACGACGGATCTAATACAAAAACCACGAAAAAAATGTCCCAAGTCTTCGAAATTTAAATTGTAATGTCATCGCAGTATCGCGCTGTCAGTAGAACAAATGAAGACTAAAGCGGAGGTAGCGCTCTGTATACGATTTTAGCGCCTTACAAGTGCGGACACTTTTTAGCGCGGACCCGACGTCCATATAATTGTAAGTCAATGGAAGACACCCGTGAATTGTTTCGAATTCGGTTTGGCCAATCGGAGCGCAGTTGTCACAGTAAAGATTTGACAGAATAGTTTTCAAACAAATTAAACGACATTTCGTCTCTATTTCTGGTTATATACTCTATGGTCTAAATTGACATTATCTTTGTTTGCTGAAAAACGAAGTCGTCATTATAAAGGACAATATTTTTAATTTGGAGGCATGGAAAATCACGCTCTGAAGTTGAGCAAGCATTTATTGAAAGTAAAGTAAATATCTATTGTAATATTCTCTATAATAAATGCACGACTGAAAGAGACTTGATAATACAATATGTAGTCTATTTTTTGTGTATATAAATATTTTATGGAATAACAACAATGTTATTTCAAGGTGTCATGGTGATAGCGAGTCCTTATCACGAAGGCAATTAACATCGCTTCCTACTGTCATTCCATAAAACTTAATATTCTTCATAAAGTTGAAAACTGAATATCAACTTTGAAAAAATTCTAAAGCATATATTATGACTATTGTAAGGCTCAATTTACATTACGGCGGAACGGAATGGAAGCATCAATTTCGCCTCGCTGCGCGGAAGGCGCTTCTCGATTCTCGATCATATGCGCGAGAATTCCACGAAACACGCGGGACGTGATTTTTGGCCTGTTCCTTGTTTATGCGTTACACAATTGACATAAAGTTCATTATGCTATGTACAACATTGTTACAAAAATTTGCTTCCATTCCGTTCCCCCGCAATATAAATGAAGACTAACAAAATGGTAAGGAAAAATATCCTCATATTACGTGAACATTTATTGTGCTCTAACAAAATAAATACGCGGCGCTAGCATTACGTGGCTCAAAATAAGTGGATGTTAATAAAAATTTTGAAAAACTATTGTAAATAATATAACGCCTGAGTCAATAACTTCACACTTATTTGAACAAGTTTTGTTTTCATTATCACAAGTAGCAACTATTCAATTAAGTAGATATTTCATGTTTTATTTTGTTATTTATTACCATGTACGGAATTTTCGCTTTCAATAGCGTAAATATACCTTTCAAAAAGTGTTTAACAGTCTTTTTATATTTTATGCTTCTTTCATAGTGTGCAAAAATGAAAATTATGATAATCATGATTTATGTGAAAAGTTCGTTTACGACGATGATAAAAGTTAGTTAAACCAATATTCATTTTGTAAAGATGTGTAACCATAGCTATAAATATAGGATACTTTCTAACTTGATAAGTTTTTTTTATGATACTTAGTTACGGGACGATCCGTAAAAAAGCGTAGAAAGCTATTACAAAATTTAAAAAACTTAGTTTTTTTTTATTTAAAGCAACATGAATTTGTAATCAATAATCAATATTCACTTTTTTTCAAGTTTGTAAAACAATTGACTAAGTCAATATATATATTTTTTAATAATTAAACAGGTGTTGCACACATGTACAATATTTAGCTGCATAATTTAGCAGAGCATGAAAACATGTTATGCAGAATAGTAAGTACATAGCAATGATAAAACACTCTTTTATTCCATTGTGTTTCAATGTCAAATTGATCATGAACAGTTTTCACAGTTCATATTCTACAATACCATCAGTATGTATAATATGTAATATATATTATACATACATACCTTAGATTAGTAAAACTTGTAAGTTTCTCCAAAGCTTTTAAAGCAATTCATGAAGTAATATTTTAGCACTTATAAAATGTTGTTACAGTTTATCTTAAAGTGTTTTTTGTATAAATATAATAATAATAAATAGCGTGTCAGACAACGACACCAATTGCCTGGCCTCAAACCAGGGAATTCCCTGTACTATGAGTACCAGAGCAACAGAATGAATTCTGGGGCATTTCTGATAATACCCAGACCAGAAGCAATTTATATATATAAAGTATGATTAGTGCTTTAGTTAGTTGGGCACTAAATTCCTTGACTATATCTGGATGTTAAATATGTTGTAGTCATTTATTTGACGATTATCACAGGTTACAGCTTTATTTAGTATTTTTTGTAATTTAACAGAGTGGTTTCATAGCCACAGGTTTCCCATTTGTCAGTCAAACTGCTCTATAATATGGGAAGAAAAGCATAAAAAGCTTATCACGTTAAAAAGCCTGTAGTTTTTCTAAAATAGTTTTGTATCAATGTTGAATTACAATGATAAATATAATTAGAAAAGGTGTGTGTTTGAAACCAGGATATTTTGAGTATTTGATTCTAATCATGTACTATTCATATTACACATAGCAGAATTTTATACCGTAAATGGTTTGAATCACAGGTGATAATTGACTCACATAATAATGATTTTTCAATCCACTGAGTCATAAATGAATAAGCATGAAAGTAGTTTATATATAGAGAGAGAGAGAAAAGACTTGAATATAGACGTTTATGCTGTCCAAAGAAAAAAATTATTGAGTGAAGTAATACTTCTGAAGAAGTATAGAAGTTTGTAATCAAATATCATGTAAGATCTCCAATACCTGAAAAAATAAAACCAAAAACACACTTACTTATACCCAGCTTTCTCCAGCACCCGTTTGTCTGAAGAGTGCGCAAAGGTTACTTCTTCTCTCATCTTGTCTGCAGTCTTGAGGAATTCTCCCTTTAAGTCAGTCTCTTTCTCAAAGTACCCAATGACGACTACATCTTCTTTCTTGTTCACATAGGCTTCGTAGTCCTTGACGGTCTTTAATTCCTTGGAGCTGGGGCCGACTTGTGCACGCATGTACTTGACAATGCCATCTAGTTAAATAAATAATTTTTTAATGTACAATATTAATAATAATTAACTTATTATTATTCATCACCACTCTAGTAGACCATTTTAGTTTTAACATAATGAATAAGTTAATAACTATAATACTAAGGTGATTCTGTTGCATCAATATTGACTACCAAGTTGGTATAGTAGGAAATACCTAAAAATATTTGTGTCAAAATTGTATATGGAAATTTATACCTTACATCAGTTAAATAGTATTTTAATTTACAGTGTAATAAATTAACTGACTTTTATTTAACTAAAGTTATTTTTTTTTTTTTTTAGTTATTATTTTAGTTATTTGTTATAACTATTTAAGTAAAGATGTTTAATTAAGCTGCTAGACTGCTTATATTGGTTTATATAGTTATGAGACAATTAGATGGTATACAAGATGTTAATATATTTATTATAATCATAAAACTGATGGGTAGCATGCATAAAATTGGGAGATACAAAATGTTACCTTATACATATACCTACAGCATCAAAAGTAGATAGTGGGCATATTTATTAATAGATAGAAGATATTTTTCAAAATCCTATGGGGTTCATTTGCAAAAGTTGTGCTTACTGGATTCTCTGGGTCCATTGTAATCAGTGGAGAGCTCTCCTTTCCTGAAGATCTTCAAAGTCGGGTAACCAGAAACTGAAAACTTTTCGCACGTGCTCTTGCCAGCCTCTGTGCAGTCCACCTTCGCCAGAGCAACCGGGGGGTCATCGTCCCTTAGGATGCCGGCCGCTAGCGCGTACTCAGGTTTTAGTCTCTTGCAGTGACCGCACCTAACAGAATCAATCATCATAACATCAATAAAGCACATACTTATTAACTATCATAGATATCTCCCAGACCGGCATAAAAGGTGAATGACTTACCACGGTGCGTAAAACATGACTAGAGCGGTATCATGTTGGGCTAAAGTAGAAGCAAAGTCGGAATCTGAAAGTTCGAGCACATCTTCCTCGGCAGCCCTACATAAATAAATTACGCCTATTAACAGAAGTACTTTTATTGATCCTAACATTTTTTACAAAGTGACCGGCACTTTTCCGAAAACCCGTGCGTAATTCTTCGCCGACGGACACGAGCTGAAAACGAGAAAGGAAAGGACAAGGACCGGAAAAATACACGTATGATGCTGCAAAAATGACAATTTGCCGGCACAGCGTTGGCCGATTTTGATTGGTTGGTTATGGCCGTGTTCAAAAAGTCTACAGACAGAGAATTCTTTCGTCTATGGTTAATGGTTACAATACCTTCAAATTTGTGTTACGCTCAATAGATTCATAACAAAACATTTGCCATATTTTAGACCAATCCGTCTATAACTTTACTGAAAACTATTTTAAATTTAATTTAATATTTGAAAGCATAATCGATCGACTTTAATCATCATGATCGAGATCAAATCGTACAACACTGTTACTATACTTTTTTTGCGGTTGGCAGCAGTTGGCTTGCTGTCAATCGGAAAATGGCAGCGACGAGTGTTGTCGTTCTCGACAGAGGCAACAATACAACTTGTACCGTAAATCTTTTCGGTGAGTACATTTTTTAATTATTTACTACGTGTGTTACCTATACCATAATTTGATACAGATTTTGGGGTTTCATATAAATTTAGTGTGCTTTTTTAAAACAACCGCATAACCTTAACTTTTATTTGTTTTTTTATTAGACGCGCGTAAGTTTTGAATATGTGTTTGATAATTTAGTCTTGATTCCCTGATGAATGTTGCTGAGTTAAGTGAAAAACGTACGTGTTGTGTGTCTATTGGAAGCGGTACTTAGTTTGGGAGGTAACGAGTTTTTTTCACAGTGAATAGAATATGTTGTCTGGCGGTTCTGACCTTGGCAATTGGATTGTAGGAAGTAAACCGTAGGTATATACTTGCTTTTAAATTGTGGATTGGTATTTGATGTACTCATAAAAAATATCCATAAGTCATATTGCCGTAATACTTGTTTGAAAAATTTAAGAGCTCTTAATTTGGTCTTAGAATTCAGTAAACATTCCATTGTTGCTGGGAATTAATTTTTAATGTACATGTTGCTTCGATTGAGAATAACTAAAAATAAGATTTTGTAGGCGCTAATAGCCACTTATATCTTATTAAGTTCGTTGTATAATTCATGCTGGTGATAAAAATAAAAACTAGATGCCAATTCCAGGTTTTAAGCTGTTTTGTTTTGATTAAACTAAGTTTAGATTAATAGAATCGGCGCGACTGCACTTCAGCTATATCAAAACTGCTGTTTACTAATGCAACTGTCATGTAGCCAGCATGCAGTTGGCGTGCTGTCGCGCCATCTGCACTCACTGACTGCACTTGTCAGTCGCATTGCAATTTTCGGACTACATTCAAACTGTTGTTTTGCAGTCCTAATGCTGCTCATGTGACAAAAGAATAAGAATAAATAGTTGGCTTATTAGTTACTTTAAGTGCGAGTGATAAACTTTATAATGGATAACAAATGAGGCAGAAAGTAAAGAACTATATGCTTACAATATAGCCTTGTATTTATTTTTCTTTTTTTCTTAGGAGCTACGGTAGTATCATGGCGGGTTAACAATCAAGAACAGTTATTTGTAAGGTAAGCTTAGCATAAATTAATTATTTTTCTTTTATCACAATGCTAACAATCAGCCAAAATTGTATGGTCTACAGATTGTTAGTTTACATGTTGACTGCCTACGGGCTATTGCAACTATTTGTGTATTGTTTAACATGCTGCTAATATTCTTATAATTAAAAAATAATAATTAACAATATTATCAAACATTGGAGCTTAAATATATAAAATCAAAACATTTCTGTGTGCATTTTTAATTTTTTTGACATTTCTTTAATATCTTATTGTGTACTCATATTAATTTTCATAATTGTCTACTCCACATAACTAAATGTTTAAATCTATATAAACACTAATTACAGACAGCGTATCCGGTGCTCTCAAAGCCCTTGCAAAATGATTTTTTCAATTGTTATCACCAGAGATTGAAATAAGCAGACTATGTACCTAAACTTGAAGTTTGCACATAGAATGAGTTACTGTTACATAACTTTTCTTCTAAATACACTTTTTGTAGTATTTGGTAGATGCACATTAAAAATGAAGAAAAAAGCACTATACAATAATTCTAGGCTTTCAGATAGATAAACACTTTATTCACTAATATATGCTTTATTTTGTAATTTGTGTAAATTTTTTATATGATGTTATGTTCTCTAATATACTTAGAGGGAGTGAGTCTGGTGATCAGGTCTTCAACCTAGTACAGACTCTAGCCCTCACCAAGGAACTTTTTATTTTATGTAGCTGTATGTAGATGTTGTGACATTTTTGAGAAAAAAGAATGTATTTTGTATTTGTAATAAGGACACAAATACATATTAAATACAAAAGGAAAAATAAAAACATTTTTGTCATAGCAGCGAAAGGGCGCTGACTCCGCATATACCTAAGGTCCTTAAGGCGCTGGTTTTTAGTCAGAACCAACGAAAGGGACTCAATGTAGAAGTTTATTGTAAGCAAAAATATGTATAAGGATCGATTATGAGTGAAATTATTCATTGAAATAATAAATGTAATAAAGTGTAAATAGTGCATCTAAAATAACCTGTTCGATATGTAACTGTATGTGTGGGCGTGAATATATGTGTAAATTGCTGTAAGTGTAAATTATAATTGTGAATATGTTTGGGTGTAATAAATCAAAATAAAAATAAAATTTTTAGAAAGGACACGATAAAGATTTACTTATTTACATAAGGATATGAAAAATATTAATTATTATAAAATTTCAATAAATTAGTCGGATTTTTATAGCGAGAGTAGGTATTGATGGTATAGTGCTTTGGAGTGAGGTATTATCCATCATCATCATCAATCATTAAAACAGTCGATGTCATCAACACATTTCCCACTGCTTCACAAGCGAGGGTTGTAAGTCATAGTCCGCTAAGCTGGCCCAATGCGTGTCGGGGATTTCACACGTTTTCCGAGGTTTGTGAACTTTCTTCGACGTGTAGGTTTCATCACGATATTTTCCTTCACCGAAAAGCTCATGGTAGATTTCAAATTAAATTTCGGACATAAATTCCCAAAAATTTAGAGATGCTTTTTTGCATTACTTTCTGTTTATCAGTATCACTCACCTAAAATTTATAATCCCCATTTTAATTTCTAATTCATCCATTCAGGCATCTCAAATTGTTGATTACCGTACTGCAATTAACTCCTCTACGAAACTTCACTGCGCATAATCACATTTACATAAACATTATGCATGCATTTACATTTGCATGCAATTAAGTAGGGCTCCTTGCTGTGTGTCTGTGTCTCGTTAATCTTTGACATTAACTAACAGTTGTTGAGTGAAATTTCATAACTCCAAATCGGCCGCGATTGTGTTTAATTTTTTTTACCGTCTAAAACACGGCCAATGCTATGAGTAGTCTACTCGTATTATACCAATTATATACAGTAATAATAATAAAACAACTCTTTGCCGGTTTGGTTCACTGCATAAAGATATTGGTAATTTATTTTTATAATGCGGATTTGGCCCCAACTTTGGATACAGACTTCAAATACACGCTTTGTTACCAGTGCAGCACTAATATGACGCTGTTCACATCTGCCCTTGCTGTTTTGTAATTTAAAAAAAATACCATTATACTACTTACGTATGTTGCAGTAATAATAGTTTAATGTTTATCAAATTATGTCTTGTGAATTAGTACCATTAGAGCACCTTGTGAAAGAGTTCGTCCAGTAACAGTACTGCCACCTTACTTATTTCTGCTGTTAAGCGGTAATGTGAGCATTACAGCGTTCATTACAGACACATGGGACTTGTCAACTTATGTCTCTGGGTGACGCGCGCAGTGGCAGTGCCCCTCCGATCTTTGCGATTTAAAGCTTTGCGTGGTACTGCAACTATGGCTAGGCATGTCGCCTACCACCATGTGCACGACGTGTTCGTTCACTTACTTAGTATAAAAAAAATCTAATGAATTACGAAAACCCTGAACCGCATTTCGATAGATTTTTTTAATGTAATGGTTTTTTTAAATGCTAGATTTCTTAATTTAGTTCGATGAGGGACAGGGATCTACTATGTTTGTAGAGGAAGTTCTCGGGCTTTGTAAGAGAGCTGCAGTAGGTAAGAGACTAATTAGAAGAGAATAAAAGAGGAATAAAAATAAACTAGCTTTTCTTGATAGTCGTCTTCACAAAGTCAAACAATCATTTAAGGGGCAATGTATACGCTTCTATAACAAGATTCCGGTTGATATACAAAATTTGCCTTTCACGAGGTTTAAAACTATAGTGAAACAAAAACTTTATACTAAAGGTTATTATACAACTTCTGCGTACTTGGATGACAAAAATCCGTGGTAGTAACCCGTTTAGCTCATGGAGGTAGTCTCGATCTCTGATGTTTCAAATAAAAAAAAATATTGTAAATGTTATTTACAAAGAGCAACCCCTAGAGTTTCTTGCTCATTCTTCTCAGGGGAATCTGCCTTACGAATGAGCGGTAGAGTTTAACCATTGTGACGATTTCAAGTGTAATAATGCTTACCTATGAAATAAAGATTATTTTGAATTTGAATTTGAATTTGAATTTGAATTCGACCTCTATAAAATGCTGAACAATTTTATAAAGCTCTATTGCACGTGGAATTGCTTAATCAAACATAATGATCGTTATTGAGAAACTTCAAATGGATCGCGCCGAGAGAATGAGTTCGCAGTGGGTACGAAAAAGCCGACCGTGAATGTATCCGCGTTAAGACCTTCCGCTAATGAGTAGAATGTTAGAGGTGGTTAGAGGCGTTACCTAGGCAATTGCGTTGCCTAAGCTGACGGACATATTTCTTCCACGTTAAGACTCAAATGCTTGGAAGTAGCATACCTCGAATGCCTTCGTCTGATCTTATAGCCAGGCACTTCGCCTGTTCATTCAGTTTATTACTTCACCAGAATGAAGAAGTTTTTATTTTTTCAGGGCCCCAATTCTGCCAATTTTAAATCATCTCAGTCGTGTGTCGATAGAGTTTCAGGCTGGATTTGGTACGTTTGGTATTCTGC